GGATTTGGTCTGTAAAACTTGGACTCAGTCAAAAGGCTGCATCACCTTTTTGTGGAATGGCCATCTTTCCTACTTATAGCATGTGTGTACAGGTCAAGGTGTGGGGACCTAAGGGAAAGGGCTCTGACTGAGGAGGCAGAGTCTGTCCCTTTTTTCCATACCATGCAACTGTCTTTTTTTCAACCTGCTCTGACCCCTAGGTCTTGCTTGATCTGGGCCTGTATCTAAGGAACTGCCCTCTGAGCTACTTGGAAGGGACCCCAGTGGCCATGAAGTCTGATCCTTTTTAAAATTTTTTTTTCAGTGTTGTTGTTTATTCTTTTTTTTAACTTTCTTTTTTTGTTTAATTTATTAATTTTTAGTTTTCAACATTCACTTCCACAAGATTTTGAGTTCCAAATTTTCACCCTATCTCACCCCTCCCTCCACCTCAAGATGGTATGCATTCTGAATACCCCTTCCCCTAGTCTGCTCTCCCTTCTGTCCCTCCCCTCTTCTCTTATCCCCTTCTCCTTCTATTTTCCTGTAGGGCAGGATAGATTTCTGTACCCCATTTCCTGTATTTCTTATTTCCCAGTTGCATGTGAAAACATTTTTTTTAACATGTGTTTTTAAAACTTTGGGTTCCAAATTTTCTTTCTTCCTCCCTTCCCACCCACCCTCATTGAAAATGCAAGCAACTCAATGCGGGTTATACATGTGCAGTTATGCAAAAGCATAGTAGTCATGTTGTGAAAGACTAACTCTATTTCCCTTAATCCTATTCCACCCCCCATTTGTTCTATTTTTTCTTTTGACCCTGTCCCTCCTCAGAAGTGTTTGCTTCTGATTACCCCCTCTCCCAATCTGTCCTCCCCTCTATCATCCCCCATTCTCTCATCCCCTTCCCCCCCATTTTGCTGTAGGGTAAGATAGATTTCCATACCCAATTGAGCGTGTATGTTATTCCCTCCTTAAGCCAAATCTGATGAGAATAAGATTCACTCATTCCCTCTCACCTTCCCCCATTTCCCCTCCACTGTAAGAGCCTTTTCTTTTCTGTTTTCTTTTGTGAGATAATCTACCCCATTCTACCTCTCCCTTTCTCCTTCTCCCAGTATAATCCTTTCTCACTACTTAATTTTATTCTCATGGAATCTGATCTCACCACACTATGAATCTTGCCCAGTGCTTATTCAGCCCCTGCTTGAGGCCTTCTAGTGAAGGCAGCCCATCCCATTTTTGGACAGTTCCATTTGCTGAGGAGTTTCCTGGCCATAGAGCCCAAATTGGCCTTTTTGTTTTCAATTTCCACCCATTCCTGGTTTTGCCCTCTGGGACCATGCTGAGGGAATCTATTATCCCTCCTCCACAACATAACCATTCAAGCAGCTGAGAGGGTAGTAGGGGAATGCTGCTGTCTCAAGTATTCCAAAGAAATACACAGAGCTGGCTTGGTGTGGGCAATGGATATCCCTGTTGCCTTAGGTGAGCAAATCAGAGGCTGAGGAGTTGAGGGTTAGCAGGTACCCAGAGAAAGGCAGTTAGAAGAACTTGGCTCTAGGAGGGGCCCAGAAGATTGGGACTCTCTCTAACAAGCTGGGTTCTAAGGGGCCGCCCCAGTGTGTGGTGCTTCTCTTCTCCTGCCAGCATGAGGAAGGGCCAAGCATTTTCCAAGCTTTCTCCAGGGAGCCAGGTTGGATGGCCAAGTTCTTTGACGTAGAACTAAATGGGCTCATTGGCTCTGGGGTTGCCGCCTCAGAAACTAACCAGAGCTCATTCAAGCCTTGCATGTCCCTGCTCTCTGAGGCTTCATAGAGCTTTTTGGAAAGGTTGTGGGAAAGCTTTTCAGGAGTTGCTTCTTTCTTTTCAGCAGTAGCTCCCAACAAAACAAAGGCCAATTCAAAGGTTCTGAAAAGCTGACCTTTTCCACTTCTCAGATGACCTCTGCCTGTTGCATCTGTCAGTCAGTTAACAGGCATTTTATTGAATACTTTCTGTGTGTACTGCACAGGGCTGGCTACTAGTGTGTGTGTGTGTGTGTGTGTGTGTGTATGTGTGTGTGTGTGTGTATGTGTGTGTGTGTATGTGTGTGTGTATATGTGTGTGTGTGTGTATATGTGTGTGTGTGTGTATGTGTGTGTGTGTGTGTGTGTGTATGTGTGTGTGTGAGAGATAGAGAGAGACAGAGACAGAGGTAAGACCTAGTCTGCTCTAGAAGCTTTTAAGTGAGAAAAACAGAACATAAAAGCAGGAAACAGGGTCAGCTTAAGAGACATTGTTAATACTTATATAACAGAAAAAGATAAAGGAAATGCTTGGTCATGTTATTCCCCTGCTCAATAAACTCTAGTGTCTCCCCATTGCTTGCAGGATCAAATACAGATTCCTCATTTGACCCTCAGAGTCCTTCCCAAACTAGCACTTGCGTAATTTTTCTAGGTTTATCTCATATTATCTCTCTCTATGTCTTTGTCTCTGTCTCTCCTTCATGGTCCAACCAAACTAATTCACATTCTGTTCCCCCTACATGACATAAAAGAACAAATTAAGAGCTGGAAGAGCCCTTAGAACAGGGGGCCCAGGCATAGATTGCAGGGGACACATGAACTTGGATGGGAACATTCTAATACCAGAGTGCATTTATAATACTTTGTGGTTTGCAAAGGGCTTTACATAGGTTATTTCATTTCATTCTCATAACAACCATGAGGGTAAGTGCTATTATTATCCCCATTGTACAGATGAATTGACTGAGACTGAGACAGGCCAGGTGATTTGTCTCAGTATCATATAGCTAGTAAATATCTGAGGCAGAATTTGAACTCGCTTCCTGACACCAAATCCAGAACTCTCTCCACTGAGCCACCTACTTACCTTAAAATTACTACCCCCACAATCATCTTTATTTTCACTCACTTCTAACTAAAATTTCCAATCCAATAAATATTTATTAAATTACTACTATTTGCCAGGCATTGTGCTAAGTGCTGGGGATACAATTAACAAAAAAAAGATAGTCCCTCCCCTCAAGCAATTTACAGTGTAATGGGGGAGGCCAACATACAAAAGGAAGTGAAATACTAAATTTTAGTACTTCATTCACTTATTCGAAAACATTAATCTGAGAAGGATGTTGTAAGCGCCATCCATCTCTTCAGAGGGCCCATTGTACAAAAAGTTTAAGGACTACTACGTTGGAGGTCATGACAATTTTAATAATATCGTGTTACACATGAGGAAACTGAGATGCAGGTGGCTTGGACAAGGTCACATAGGGAACAAGTCCAAATAGATTCAAGTTGAGGTCCTCTGACTCAACATCCAGCCCCCTTTTCGCTGTGCCGTGTTCCCTCCCACAGGAGGAGCCCTCCCACTGTGCCTTTGCACAAACTTGGAATGCTATCCCTCCGTCACAGTCACTTCTAGGAAAACTGAGCTCTTTAAATCTCAGCTCAAGTGCTGCCTTCTTGATCCCCCCTAGGTGTTAAGGCTCTCCTTTCCCAATCATTTTAGATACACTTCATATCTATATCTATATATCTGTCTTTATTTGCTTATCTGAGTATCTTTAGTATCTTTTTATCATAAAGAGATGCTGTATGCACTAGAGAAGGGAAATTGGATAAGAGTGCACTTCTTTTCTTAGTAACACCATTAGAAAATAGTAGGGAATATAGACTTGCAAATTCTCAATCAGATGCTTCCCCCATCCCCCATCAGACCATATGCTTCAGTCCTTGAATCCCTCTTGGTCTAATTACTACCACCAGAGAAATACTCCAGGGCTCATGGAAACCAGGTACTGCCTCCCAAATATTTGTAGTTCACATCCCAGAATGGGACATCTTAGGACCCTTCATCCTCTGGATGATAGGTTTTGAGATCAAACCTTCCTTTTACTTGAAAAGGAATTCATCTCTGATGTAGGATGCTATCTTGTTGAGTATTGTGTAATCTTTGGGGAGTGACTTTGACTATGTCTATATGAAGCCAAAATACATATAGGTAACGTGTAGACAATGCAGTTAATTATCAACACCATAGACCTACTGTAGGAAATGATCTCAGAATTCATCTACTCCAGTCCCTGCATTTTATAGATGGAGAGAGGTGAAATAATTTGCCCATGATCACATGGATAGGTAGTGAATAGCAGGAAGAATTTACACCCAAGTGCCCTGAATCCAAATCCATTGTTCTTTCCACGGGTCATGCAGCCTCTCAAAATTAAAAAAAAATTATACCTCAAATGTCTAGATATTTATTCAACTAACATCCAATATTAGAACATGACTAGATGTTTTCAGATATCTAGATCATAGAATTAGAATCAAGGGGGATATTATAGGCCTTCTAGTCTAATGTTCTCATTTTCTTGTTGTTCAGTCATTTCAGTTGTATTGGATTCTTTGTGACCCCTTTTGAGGTTTTCTTGGCAAAGATACTGGAGTCATTTGCTATTTTCTTCTCCATCTCGTTTTACAGATGAGGAAACTGAGGTGAACAGTGACTTGCCCAGGGTCACACAACTAGTAAGTGTCTGAGGCTAGATTTGAACTCATGAAATGAATCTTTCTTATTCCAAAACTAGTGTTCTATCCACTGCACCACCTAGCTGCCCCCAAATGTTCTCACTTTATAGATGGGGAAACTGAGGTGCATAGAGGTCAAAAAACTTGCCCAGATAGTACACAGGTAATAAATAACAGAGGAAGGTCTTGAACACAGGTCCACTAACTCCAAATCCAGTTCTTTTTCTTGTGTGCCATGTTGCCTATCTAACACTTGGGCATCTCTGCCTTCCATCCTTGACCATTGACATTTATTTCCACTAGAAGCAGAGGAGCCATCAATCCATGGGGCCCTGCAGCTGTGCTGCTGTCCTGAGAAGGTTCCTTCAGATGGCGTTGAAGGTTTGAGATGGACCTACTCAATGGGCCTGTGAATACCGTCAGTTGAAATGGACCATCTAAGAAGGAGTCGATTGTCAGTTTCCCAACCAGCAGTAAAACACTTACAATTGAATATCCAGGAAAATCCTCTTTTCCTCTCCCACATGAATCTTCCAGACGCAGTCCTCTCCCTCAGCATAGGGCTCAGGCCAGTTTGGGGACAGCACGACTCCAGCTACCGCAGACAGCTCCCCACCACACATGGCTGAAAGAGGAGACACAGTTAGGTGGACACAGGCTGATGCAATGGCCTGGGAAGCCTGTCATTAGGGCCTGTGAGAATGGAATGGATGCTGTGGCTTGTATCAAGGTGTTCCAGGCATTTCAGAGAATCTGCCGTCTACCCTCAGAGTTGGGCTTCTCATTCTAGACCCTTCCTGAGCAGGAAACCCCCTCTATAGGGTCCTGGGCAAATGGGCACCCAGTCTCTGCTTGAAGATTTTCAGTGACAAGGGACTCACCATCTCCCAAGGTAACTTATCCTAAACTGGGGATGCTCTAATTGCCATGAAATTTTTCTTTATATTCAGTTCAGTTGTCTCTAATTTCTGCCCATTGATCCTTTTTTTTTTTTTTTTTTTGGCTTGCGGGGCCAAGAAAAATAACTCCCAACTCTTTTCTTTAGCACATGCCTTCATAAATGAGAGTCCTGGAAGGGACTGTTGAGGTTACCTGGTCTATTCTTAATTTTTTGGATGAGGAAACTGAGGAAGTTAAGGCTTAGGTTCTTTTATCCTTCCACTGTACTGTTTCCTTCTGTTCCCTATGTGACATTAGGAAATTCACTGAACCAACATCTCTGGGCCTCAGTTTCCTTATCTATAAAATGAAGGGAATAGATGAGATGATCTTTCTTATCCCTTCCAACTCAAGATCTATGGTGCTGCGATATCCATTTCTGCCAATAGATGCTAGCATCTCTGGTCCCCGTGACATCCTGGTCACTTTCTCTGGACTAAGTACTTCCGCTCTCTCACTCCTCTATACAATTTAGTTCCAGAACTGAACACAATGCTTACTCCAAGTTGGGGCTGGTCAGATTTCAGAGCTAACTTTGTGTTTACCTAGTGAATGTTCTGACTGAGGTCCAGGTCAGAGCAACCATAAATTCTGCTCTGTTAAACTAGTGCATTTAAAATGGGAATCAATCTTTCACGGGCAGCAATGGTTGTGATTTCATGCCAAACTGAATCGGGTGACGATGGCTGCCAAGAGGAGAAACCTGTTTCATTATTCTGTGTTTGAGTTATCCTGGCATGGGGCTGACATGCCAACTTTAAACACGGAGAGCGATGAGGACAGAGAACCAGAAATGCTTTTGGTATGCCTTATAGATGTGTGCTCTGTAAATTCAGCCTTTGGTATTAACAGGCCTATTACAGGGTGTTAATAGCCTCTCAGCCTCGCTGGTGCTGTGCTGAGGATTGAATGAGAGGAAGTCTGTGAAAGCTTTGGAAGGCATTAAAGGGGCTACAGGAGTTTAAGGGGTAGGTGTTATTATTATTGCTCTAAGTAGTCGTATTATCATTCGTAATAGATTCCACATCCTCAAGTGAAAAGAATGAAAGGACCTTAAGTGCTGGTTTCAGTTCTGCTACTGATTTGCTGTGTGACTGTGAGAAGTCACCCGACCTTTTTGAGCCTCAGTTTCTCCAGTTATAATATGGTGGTGGCAGGTAAGGTGGCAATGATAACTGCTTTACCTACCTCCCAGGGCATATTGGTGGGCCAGAGTGAGATAAAGGCTATGAAAGTGCTTTAGAAAAGCATAAAGGAGGAATGAAATGTCATTGCATGAGCATGGACAGGTATCTTCCCCCAACTGGACCCCAGTTTCTTCCACCACAAAATGAAAGTGTTGGGCTAGATGATCCCTGAGACCTCTTGGACATTTTGGCATTTTATGAGGCTGTTATATTATGCAGAGGGGTCATGACAGAATGAATCAAGGGCAGGAAGTCAACTTCTTCCCTTCCCCTTTCTCTTTCATTTCCATTTTTCCTTTCTTGACTCAAGTCCTGATTTCCCCCTTTCCTCCCTCAATCCCTCTCTTTCTTCCTTTAATTCTTGCCTTTTCCTTTCTTCTCTCAATATCTTCCCTCCCTTTGTTCCTCTTGTCTTCCTCAATCCCACTCTCTCTTGCTTCTTCCCTCAATCCTTCCCTCTCTTCCATTCTTCTTTCCTCAATTTTTACTTCTCCTTTCAATGCTCTCCTCCTCCCTTCTTTATTAATTTTTTCTTCTTCCATCAATTTCTCCCCTTTTCTTCTCTTCTTTTCTTCCCTCAATCTTTCCCTTTCTTCTGCCATTCTTTCCCCAATCTTTCATTTATTTTTCATCTCCGTTTCCTTCCTTTTCTGTTTCCCACTCTTTCTTGCCATATAATTTCTTGTCGGATCCTTTGCTGTCCTGTTGTTTTATACAGCATGAAAGGACTCAGAAGAAACTCCCCTGAACCCAGGGGCCCTGGTAACCACTTCATTCTGTCAAAAGGGAAAGTTAGCCCTTTTTGTTTAAACTTTTTTTAGGCAGTTCAGGGTGAGCTTAGGCAGATTTCTGACCACCTTCAGTCCAGTGGAAGGTAGCATTGAATCAGGCTAATGATTAGCTCAGAAGAAAAACAATCTGTTGCACATAGAGACGCTAGGATTAGGGGCGATGAGATTTGTTTCCCAAGGCCTTGTCTTGGGCTCTCCTTTCTTCAGTAAGAGTCACAGAATGTGAGGGTTGGAAGGACCACGTGGTCCAAAGGAAATCTCCTCTGGAACATCCCAGACAGGTGGCTGCCCAGCCTCTCCATGCTGACCTCCTGGGAAGGGGAGCCTGCCATTTCTTCAGGCAGCCTATTTCTCTTTGGAACAGCTCTAATTGTTAGGAAGATTTTCCTGATCTCAAATCTAAATTTTCCTCTTTTCAACTCTGACCTATTGTCCCTGGTTCTGTCCTTTGTCAAACAGAACGATTCTAATCCTTCCTCCCTAGGACAGCTGTTCATAACTGTTTTGATAATTTTCTTTTTCCAGCTAAACATTCCCAGTTCCTTTAACTTATCCTCATATATCATGAACTCAAGGCCCTTTTACTATCCTGGTTGCCCTCCTATGAATACTCTTCAGTTTATTAATACCCTTCAAAAACCCAAGTGCCCAGAACTGCATATTGCATTATAGACCTGGTCTGATTAGGGTGGAATGTAGTGGGATCACCACCTTCTTATTCCTAGAAGCTATGCTTCTATTAATGTTACCTAAGGTCACATTAGCTGTTTTGACTACAACCTCATATTGCTGACTTGTGTTGAGCTTGTGGTCCAGTAAGATCCTCGGACCTTTCTCAGGACAACTGTTCTCTATGCTTGCCTCTCCTGCACTTTGTACTGAAATTGATTTTTTTTACCCCAGTGTAAGACTTTACATTTATCCCCATTCATATTGGATTATGCCCATCTTATTAGAATGAGTTCAGTGCTCTATCCTGTTGAGATGGTTGTCTGACTCAGTCATCCAATGTGTCAGCTTTGTGACATCTGCAAAGTTGATGAGCATGTCATGTGTGATACTTTTATCCAAGTCACTGATAAAAAATGTAAATCAATACACTTCTCCTCTCCTTCTCTTCCTCTTTTTGCTTCTCCTTTTCCTTCTCCTCTTTCTCTTTGTTCTTCTCTTCCTCCTTTTCTTTCTCCTCCTCCTCTTCCTTCCCCTCCTCTTACCTCTCTATACCTCTGTGTCTTTCTCTCTCACTGTGGATTCATCCACCATCTGTATGTTAATGATTCCCAAATCTATATATCCGGCTCTGGTCCTGCATCCCAGTATCTTCTTGTCATCTCTACGTTGCAGGTCTGACTATGTTACTCCTCTACTCCAAGGGCTTCTCCAGGATCAAATACAAAATCCTGTATTTGTTGTTCAAAGCTCTTCATAGGGTCACCCCACCCCCACCTTTTTAGTCTTCTTAGGCCTTACTCCTCACAAGTCCTCTTTGTTTTTATTTTTTATTTATTTATTTTTTCTTTCAGCCAAAGACAAGCCTGACTCTTAAAGAATCTGAGCATTTGGCTAGATTATAAGAATCTGAGAAGTGGCTAGATTGTAAGAATCTGAGCACCTTAATGGGGCCAAGATGGACCTTATATACAGAAAGACTGTGGGAGAGATCTAGGAGTGGCCAAGTGGTCTGTGGGGACTCTCACACATCCTCTTTGATCTAGTGCTATTGGTCTCCTGGCTATTCCATGAACAAGACATTGCTCTTAGCTCTGGGTATTTTCTCTGGCTGTGCCTTATGCCTGGAAAGCTCTTACTCCTCTTCTCTGCTTTTGGGTTTCCCTGGCTTCCTTCAAGTCTTAACTAAAATCCTACCTTCTACAGGAAGACTTCTCCAGCCCTTTTAATTCTAGTGCCTTCCCCTTTTAATTAGTCCCTGTTTATCCTGTACATAGCCTGTTTGTATATATTTGTTTCCTTGTTTTGTCCCCCATTAGATTGTAAGCTTCTTGAGGGCAGTTACTGCCCTTGTCTCTTTTTGTATCCTTAGCACTTAGCATAGTGCCTGGCACATAGCAGGGGCTTAAGAAATGCTTATTGACTGAACGATCACTTGAATTTTTTTTAACAGCATCTCAGGTTTATCATGTCCAAAATAGAGTTCTTCTTCCTTCTAAATCTGCCCATCTTGCAAAATTCCTTCTTTCTATAGTGGGCAACACCATCCTCCCATTCACCCAAGTTTGCAGCCTCATAGTCATTCTAGATTTATTCTGCTCCCTTCCTTCCTTACCTTATCCATTCAGTGGCTAAAACTAGTCAATTCTTCCTTCACAACAGCTTTTGCAACCAAACCTTTTTCTCTACTCATGTGGCCACTACCCTACCTTTAGTTCTCATCTCTTCTGGTTGAGGTTATTGCAATAGCTTTCTGAATCCTCTCCCTGCTTCCAGTTTTTCCCTGTTTCAATCCATCTTCCACACAACTGCCAAATTATTTTTCCTCAATTTTCCAGGGGTCCTATACACCTCTGCTCAAAAACCTTCAATAGCTACTTATTACCTATAGAATAAAAAAAGTTATAATTCCTTAACCTGGAACTTAAGGCCTTCACAAGGTAAACTCCAATCTACCTTTCCAGCCTTATTTCACACCACTCCCTCTCACATACATTATGTTCCAGTAAAATGGAACTACTTCCTAGAATTTAATATCCCATCTCCCTCCTCTGGGAAATTGCACAGAGTGTCCTCCATGCCTGGAAAGCATTCTTTCCTCATCTCTGCCTTTGAGAATTCTTAGCTTCCTTTAAATCTCAGCTCAGGTGCCATCTCTTCTAGGAAGCCTTCTGAGATCCATCTAATTGCTAGTGATTTCTCTTTCCCCAAATTATATACCATTGACCTATCTGTATATATGTTAGATGCAACTCACTCTTAGAAGAATGTCATCTCCTTGAGGGCAGGGACTATTCTGTTTTTGTCTTCATAATCCCAATACACAGATCAATGCCTGGCACCAAGAATGCCACTAATTGCTCATTTAACTGAAATCAAGTGGGTTCTAGACTCTTTGCTATCATTAAGTGGTTGTACAGCTTTGGATTGGCCCCCCCTTCCTTTCTGATCCTCACCTTCATTGGCTTTCTGTCTCAGGGACTCTGGGAAAGTCGGGGGGAGGATCTCAGGGGTGCCAGTGGTAGGAGGAGGTTGTGTGGCCTGAGAGCTGGGAGAGTCACCTCACCTCTGCACAAGGGCTCTGTATCATTCCAGTAAGGGTCCCGGACATTGATGCACTCAATGATGGCAGGTCCCTGCTCCAGAGAATGACCAGGGTCACAGGTGAATTCCACTGTGGTTCCGATGTTGTAGGTTGGGTCTGAGGTTGTGAAGTTACCATTTTGGATATAGGGCTCATAGCAGTGGCCTTTCTCAAAAGCTGGAAGGAGAGAAGGAGACGTAGGGAATGGGGAGAGGGCAGGTTGAAAAATCAAATCATAGTATGGATGGCTGCCCATCAGGAGAAGTGGTCCTGCCTGGTCCTAGTTCCTAGGATTTTATAAAATCATAGATTATAGGTTTAGAGCTTGAAGGTACCATAGAGGTCATCAAATTTCAAGACTTCATTTTACAGATGTGGAAACTGAGGCAGACAATGGTTAAGTGACTTGCCTAAGGTCACACAGCTAATAAGCATCTGAGGCAGCATTTGAACCCAAGTCTCCCTGGCTCCATGTCCAATATACTATCCATGACATTTCCTCAGACTTCCCCTGGGGTTTCTGGGTTAGGAATATGCCATGACCTTGAACTTCTCCAAGGTGTCAGAAGAACTGGGCCTGGATATCTCGTCTGATACTAGTCATGTGAACTTGGGCAGATGATTTCCCAGTTCTAAGCCTCAGTTTCCCTATCTGTAACATGAGGCATTGGAGCTAGAATCTGGAGTTGGAATCAGAAAGAACAGGGTTCATGTCTGTGTGACGTTGGGCAAAGCTGGCAGATCTGAGATCTAGATCTGGAATGGGCTCTGGTTCAACCTCCTTATTCTATAGATGAGGAAACTGAGGCCCAGGGAAGGTAATTGACTGGCCTCAGAGACCCCAGTAGCAAATATCAGAGGCTAGATATGAACTCAAGCTCTCTGACTCCAATCTGCTCCTTTTCCCACTGGACTGCATTATCACTGAGCCTCATCTTCGACCTGGACTGATATATCCCATAAGGACCAGATTTCCTTGGGAGCACTCATGTCTTCCAGATGTCTCTCTCCCCTCTTGCCTCCATCAAATCTTCTTGTACTTCTTTCTCTCCTTTCAGGGCTGTGATCTCTGCTCTCTGTCCAGAGAAAATGTACCTCTAAGTACAAGCAAAGAGATCAAGGTAATGTAATAAAGTGGGTACTGGTGTTGGAGTCAGAGAGCCTGAGTACAAATATTGGGTTTGCCAGTAACTACCTGGGTGACCTTGAGCAAGCCACTTGACTTCTTTAGGCTTCAGTCTCCCCATCTGTAAAATATGGATAATAGTAGTGTCTACCTCCCAGGATTATTGTGAGGAACAAGTGAGTTAACACGTGTAAAGTGCTTTGCAAACCTTAAAGCTCTACATAAATTCTAGCTATTGTTGTTATCATTGTGGTTATTATTGGTGTTATTATTACTGAATTGCATTAGGTTAAATTGAATTGACTCCCAGAGGAGAATGGGGCATTTTCTTTTTCTGACTGGAAGGCTTAGGCTGGAAACTATGCCCAGAGGGGTAAATTCCTCCTGAGAGTGCCCTATCCCTGCTCCCATCTGCTCTTCCCCAAATGTTCCATTCTGAGATCTAGGGCCCGACAGCCCTGTGGACAGCTACGTTCTACTCCCTGGTCCCCTCCCCAAGGGGCTGAGAGGTCACCTTCAAATCGAATGTTGAAGACTGTGGTGGCCCTGGCCTCTTCAGCCATGAAGTAGATTCGGATGGCAGAGCCTTCACTCAGCAGGCCTTCGAAGGGAACATTCTCCATTTGGAAGGAATCATAGAGGACCGTCGACTTGTTGTTCCTGCCACTGTAGACAACCATCCTAGTGGTCCAGGGAGAGAAAGTCAGGGAAAAGGGAAAGAGAGAAAGACTTCTCCAATCATTTTGCTCATGGTCCAATGAGTGGGAATGAATGTCTCTCCTCAGAGACCACCAAAACACTCAAGATAGGATCATAATATCATACCTTGAGTGCTAGAAGGGACCTCAGATGCCCAACTGCTTCATTTTTCAGAGAAGGAAACTGAGGCCCAGGAAGAGAAAGTGACTTACCTAAGGTCTCAGAGAAGATTCAGAATTTGAATCCAGTCCTCTAATGCCAGACCTAGAATGCTTCCCCTTGTGTCAAACCAACTGCTTTTTTATTTAAGTTTTTGGAACTAAATCATTAAAAAATTATTTGATGTCCTATCATATTATAATATCCTCTCATGTGAGGGGTAGTATGATATGATGTCAGAGGATTTGGTTTTAAATCCCACCTTTAATAATTACTACCTGTGTGGCCTTGGGCAAGTCACTTATCCCACACTGTGCCTCAGTTTCCTTATCTGTAAAATGAAGGGAGTTGGACTAGATGGCCTCAGAGTTTCCCGGCAGCTCTAGGCCTGTGAATCCTATGATTCTATCCCTGATGCTTTAATGCCCATGTGTCCTTGGACAGGGACAACTTTGGGCCTCAGTTTCTTCATCTGTAAAATGAGATCACTGTTAAAACACAGATGGTCTCTGAGGTCTTGTCCACCTCGAGATGCTTTGATTTTTCTAGTTGATATGGACATTAATTTTTGTCTTCCCTTGCCTTCCTGTAAACTACCTCTTTTCCTCCCAGGTGATGTCTCTTTGAGTCAAAGTCTTCTGCTTCCCTTCCCCTCTCTCTGGGTCACAGGGGCTGGTCTGAGTGTCCCAATCTCCTAGGTTAATGCTCTGGGCAAGGTTGCTAAGGGAGAACACATGCTTTTGTGTCTACAGCTAGCTTTTACTTCTACACTTAGTGTCTTTTTTTACAGGGCACATTAAAGTCACTGAGACTCCAGGAGTCTCTCAATTTTATACCAAGTGCTGAGAGTCTGGCAGTGCGTTCCAAAACCCCTAAAATGTCAGGACTCTGGGGATGATTTTCAAACCACGCAGTGAAATGCAGCAAGTGTGTGAGAAATACTAAAAGCAAGAGTGGTTAAAAAAGAGTCCTGGGATGAATGGGAAGAGTTATGGCCTTGGATGGAGAGGAAGCTTTCGAAGCCATTTAGTTTAAAGACCCTGGAGGGAGCACATGGGATAAATTCAATACAGCTTGGAATAATCAATGGTAAAGGGACTCAAGAGGAGAGGAGAAAGGGGAGCCGAGGATGAAGCCAAAATAGGGGGAACCAGGAAGGTCTGTGAAATGACCATAATTTCCTTGGTTATGGTATCAGTTATTGGCATAACACCAGGTTGGAAAGTCTTCTGCACCAATAGGGAAAAGGTTAAATAGGGTCAAATTTCTCAAAGGGTTAGTATCTAAGATATATAGATAACTAACATATACATATATATATATACACACAAATATATTATATGTATACATATATGTACAAATATATGTATATGTGTGTATGTATATGTTTGTGTATCTCTCTCTCTCTCTCTCTCTCTCTTTCTCCCCTCAATCATCCTTCTATCTATCTATATGTCTGTCTACCCAATCATCCATCTATCCAAGCAAAAGTCATCTCTTAAAAGATAAGTGGCCAAAACATACAAAGTTTTCAAAAGAAAAAAAATGAAAATTTAACAACCATATGAAAGAATGCTCCAAATCACCAATAATAAGAAAAATGAAAACCCACACAGTCCTGAGGTTTCCCCTCATATCTAACAAACTGGAAAAAATGACAGAAGATGGCATAGTCAGTGTTGGAGGGGTTGTAGGAAGAAAGGTATGCTAATGAGTTGCTGAGGGAGTGGTGAATTAGTACAACCATTTTGGAAAACAATTTGGAACTATGCAAATAAAGTGACTAAAATTTATACCCTCTGGTCCATGGATTCCACAACTAGGTTTATTCCTAAGGAAGACATCAATAAAAAGAAAGCCTCCATATACACCAAAATAGTTACAGTAGCCTTTTTGGAAGGGTAGAGAAGAATTGGAATCAATGTAGACACCTATCAACTGGGGAATGACTAAACAAATTGTGGTATATGAACGCAATGGAATAGTATTGTGCTATGAGAAATGATGAATGCGATGAATACAGAAAAACATGGGAAGATATGTTAACTGATGCAAAGCGAAGTAAGTGGAGCAAAGAAAACAATTGATACAAGACTATATTGATGCAAATGGAAAGAACAGCCATCATAAAACAAGTGAAAATGAATGTTACAAAATGATAAGGAACAAAAGTCGCCTCAAAGAAGGGCTATGGGAAGACCCTTTCCCCCACTCATTTGCAAAGGTGGTAGGGGGAAGGAGAGAAGGGTGCAGAACATTGCATGTGGCGTCATTTTTGTCAATGTATTGATCTAGTTTTTGGAATTTTTTTCTTATTCTTTTTTTCTTTTGAAAAAATTCTTTATTGTAAGGGAAAGACTTTTGGGAGGCCAAAGGGGGAAGGTCACAGAGGGAAATTGAGGTGGTGTAAAGACATCAGAAGCTCAGAGAGTTTAAGTGACTTGCTCGTGGCTATACAATTAATGGCACACATGGGATTTGAACCCAGGTCCTTCCTGACTCCAAACCCAGCATTTCTTTCTTTCTTTTCTTTTAAAATTGTTTTCATAGGATCATAGATTTAGAGCTGGAAGAGACATTAGAGATCATTGAGTCCAACCCCCTCATTTGACAAGTGAGGAAACTGAGACTGAAGGAGGTTAAATAATTTGCTCAGGGGCACACAGTGTCTTGGACAGGATTTGAACTCAGTTCTTTCTGGCTCCAAATCTAATGCTCAATTCCCTATGGCACCTTGATGCTACCTGGTTGTTCTAGGTTGGCCCTCCATTCCTCTCCTTGTGTGCATTGCTCTTTTTCATCTGCCCTCTAGGGGCCTGAAGCTTGGTTCTGGAAACTCTGGCTGATAGCTAAAGAGAATCCCTTTGTGCTTCCTTGATCTGGGCCCAGTGATGGAAAGCATCCAGGTGCTATGCTGGAGTCTCAGAGAATGGAGGAACAAAAGCCAGTGTGGTGTAATAGATAGAGTGTTGGGCTTGGAGTTCAAATCCTGCCTCAGACACTAGCTGTTGGACCCTGGGCAAATCATATAACCTCTCTGAGCCTCAGTTTCCTCACCTGTGAAATGAAGGAATTTGACTTGATGACTTCTAAGTTCTCTTCCAGACCAAAATCAATGATTCTATGGAGCAGCAGAAAGACAGAGAAGGTCCACCTGCGTGTTGGTTGTGCCAACCCTCTCCCTCCCAGGGCTCACAAGTCACCCTCGTTTCTTGATGGTGGGAGAAGTGTCTGAGTCCTGAAGGCAGATGCCCTGCCCAGCGCAGGGTGGCTTGCCTGCCCCCTCTCTATACTTTTTTTCTCTGATAATAAAGGATCTTTGGAGGATTCAAGCATCACAGAATTCAGAGCATCAAGCTCTGAGACATCATACAGTCTCTGATTATATCCCTACAAGAACATAAGTTGCTTGAGGACAGGAACTCTTCTTCTCCGGTCTTGGCTCCCTGGTGCCTAGCACAGTGCCTAACAAACAAAGCATGTGATAAAAGCTTGTTAAATTGAATTAAATTGAATCTTGTATTGTTTGACCTGGAAGCAGGTCTGCTGCTGCTCTTTGCATTGAAAAAGTACTGGATGAGGAGTCAGGAAGCCTAAATTTTATTCCCAATTCTGTTACTGCCTCACTGTGTGACCTCACCTAGACCACACGACCCATCTTGGCTGGTTTCCTTACTCTGAAAAGGGGGCAAAATGCCAGTATAGGACTATGGCAAAGGAAAAATAGCTTGAAGACTGGTCCTGGAGAAGAGTTGAGAACACATACTTCCCTCCTTTCCTTGCAGAGGTTGGGGAACAGGGATATGGAATATTTTGCATACATACTCAGGCATAGTGCCAAATCCCTCCTTTTATCTTTACATTTTCATCTCTTTTTTTTACACGGGATGGCTCACAGGGGAAGGGAATGACATATGCTGAAGTGAATGGGATATATAACCAAAGTTATCAATAAAAATAAGAAAAATGTGCTACAAAGAATGGGCCACCTTTCTTCATTCCTTGGAGAGGTGGGGGAGTATGGGTGCATTATGTTGCATATGCCATCAGCTATGACCTCTATGTTAGTGGATTCCCATAACTTTTTTTCTTTGTTAAAAGGGGAAGAATTATTGTTTGGGTGGGTGGATGGAGTGACATATCTGGAAATGACTGATATAAAAACAAAAGACATCAATAAAATGTTAATTTAAAATGAAAAGAAATGTGCTCATCAAAATTGAGTATTTTTTACGATTATTAAAAACCGTTTGAAGGCTGGGTCTTGGCCAAGCTCTATATTTTTAAGACATTATGCAAAATGAAAAGAAAAACAATCCACCAACTAGATAAGTCTCTTTTATGAAGTCATAAACAGGCATTTTATCCTTTGATTTTTACTATGTCTCATAAATGAGGTTTATTATCTGTTGCCAGACTGAATTTCTAATGGTATCAAAACACAAACATTGGTAACCACACTGGAATGCTGCGCTGTATTTTCCGGGCATTTCTTGGGGTGCTGCATGGGGCAGTGGAGAGAACATTAAAAGGGGAGTCAGGAAACCTGTCTTCTACTCCCGGGCCCTGCCTTTAATTCACTCTGTGGTGTGTTTCAAGTCATTTGGGCAATCTGGGCCTCAGTTTCCCCACCTGAAAAAGAAGAGGTAGGTCTAGATCAAGGGTTCTTGGCCTGGGGTCCACAAACAAATTTAAGAGGGTTCATGAACTTGATGGGAAAAATTATATCTTTATTTTGATTAACCTTTGGTTTCATTTGTAACTCTATGTATTTTATTTTGTGTGTTTAAAAACACGATTCTGAGAAGGGGTCCAGACACTGAAAAAGGAGTCCATGACACAATAAAGGTTAAGAATGCAACATTCAGATGATCTCCAATGTCTGTTCTAGCTTGGAAATTCTATATCCTATGTGCTAGAGCCCCTCCCAGCTCTAACATTCCCTGTTCTAAGATCCCTCCCAGCTCTGAAATTCCCTATTCTAAGGTCTCTCCCAGCCTTGACATTCCCTGTTCTAAGCTGCCTCTCAGCCTTGACATTCTCTGTTTTATTTCCTCTCAGCTCTGACATTTCCCGTTCTAAGGCCCCTCCCAGCCCTGACATTCCATGTTCTGTGGAATGACTGGCTGAAGCTCTGAGGTCTAGCCAGAGGGGTTAGTACAGGAACTGGATAGTTTCCCTGAGCGTCTTACCTGTCCTTCTCATTCAGGGAGAGCCTCTCGAAGTGTAGGTGAAGTTTCTGGCCTTCTGGTGCCTCGATGGTCCACACACAGACTTGACTTCCATTGGTGTTCCCAGGGTAGCTGGGTGAGAGAACTCTGCCAATGGTGGCATTGTGGACAATCCCTCCACAGGGAGCTGGGCCCAAAGGATATGGAATAGACAATGAGGAGAGGCAGAGAGAGAAAGTTACCCTTACCACACAATGTTCTCACTTTGGGTAAGGACCAGGGAACCTGGAGCATCTATATTTTTAATGCTTTTTTAGGGGCATGAGGGGGAAAGGGCAGAAGGAAAACAAGTGATCTACAGCCTGACCTCTCTTTTTTAGCATGGCTGGCCCATCCTGAGCCAGGAACACCAACAAGACAATCCCCTGGGGATGGAAAAACTGAGGGAAAGAGTCTGGTTGGACATCAAAGGAAGTGGCTTCTCACAATCATAGGATGGCAGAATCTGAGAATTGTCAAAGATCTCACCTGCATCTAATCTAACCTATTACCCAAAGGAATTCTCACTATAACATACCTGACATGTAGTTATTTAGATTCTTCTCAAAGACCCCCAGGGACGGAGATCTCATCACCTCTCAAGCCAGCCTATTCTTATTTAGCACAGCTTGAATTGTCAAGAAATTTTTCCTAACATCAAGCCTAAATCTACCTCTTTGTAACCTCTACCCCTTATTCCTGTGTGCAAAAGCCAATAAATCTGTCTTCCAAATGACAGACTTTCAAATGCTTTAAGAAAGCTATTGGATCTTCCTCGTGACTTCTCTTTGCCTGGCTAAATGTTCTTAGTTTCTTCAATTAATCCTTATAATAATTTGATCAACCAATCAAGAAGAATTTATTAAGCATCCACTGTGTCCCAGGAGCTATGCTAGGTGTTGGGGATACTAAGACAAAGTCAAAAGAAATCCTGTCCTCAAGAAGATGACATTCTGATGAGAGGGACAGAGAGAGAGAGAGAGAGAGAGAGAGAGAGAGAGAGAGAGAG